AGATGAGGGTAAGGGTGTAGATTTGGGGGGTCGGGGTTTTCAGAAAGCATTTGACAAGGTGCCACATAAAAGGCTTGTAAAAAAATAATTCTATAGGTGTTGGGGATAAGTTAGCTAATTGGATAGAATAGTGGCTGGATGTTATAAATTGAGTTCATTCAAACTGGATTAATGTCACAAGTGGGGTGCCTCAAAGCTCAGTCTTAGAACCTTTGCTCTTTTTGATTTACAACAATGACATAGATAAAGGAATGTTCAATAAATTACTTAAAGTTGCTAATGATATTAAGATCTTGGGTGTTGCCGGCCACGAAGAGGATGCTGCTGCTTTATAAAAGGATTTATATCATTTAGTGAGTTGGGAAAATAAATGGCAGACTGGTTTTAATTATAATAAATGCAAGATAATGCATGTGGGTTATCATAACTTGAATTATAAGCATAATTTGGATGGGAATAACCTTAATAGTGTTATGAAAGAAAGGGATTTTGGTGTAGTGGTTGATCAGTCTCTTAAGCCATCCAAGCAGTGTAATGTTATTAGTGGTAGGGCAAATAGGATTTTAGGTTGTATCTACAGAAATACAAGTCTAAAGAGAATATACTTTTATTGTATAGGTCACTGTTTAAGCCACATTTTGAGTACTGTGTTCAGTCTTGGGCTCCTTACTTTAGGAAGGACATTGAATTTATGAAAATAGTTCAGAAAAGGACTACTAGAATGGTGCCTGGGATGGAGGGGTTGTCATCTGAAAAGAGGTTAAGATCTCTGAAATTGTTTTCATTTAAAAAAATAAGAGTTACAGAGGGCCTGATTGACGTGTTTAAGATTGTTAAGGGAATTGATAGTGTTGATGCATCATATTTTTTCATACTTAATGGTAGGACTACTAGGGGACACAAATATACATTTTGGCAGGGTAGAAGTCGTTTTTTCTAACAGGGTGGTTGGCCTTTGGAACAGGTTGCCTTCAAATGTTGTGGAAGCAGTAATTTTAAGTGTGTTTATGAGAAAGCTTGGTAACTATATGAATGGCAAGAAAAAGTACCCATCCGCAGTGACAGGAAAAGTTTAAGTTAATCTATCAATTTATTTCCTGGACTTAAAAAAGGTTAACTGTGTTGCACTCTTGGTTTCACTCAGAGCCAAAGCTCTGAGCTACTTATATCGGCTACCACAAAAAGTAATTGTTGAGCATTTCAGTCATGCTAAGAACTGCTCAACAATAACATATGGTAAATCTATATTTATATTCTTTAAGTGAAGTCACATTTTGAGATGTGAATGATAGTGTTATTAATTCCTAACAATTTAGTGTAAAATATCCTGCTTGCAAAATAAAATTTGACATCAACAATATTCATGCTTGCTCTCCTGTAATTTTAAAAGTGAATGTTGAGCCTTGCCTGTGTGTGTAGTTTTTCAAACGTAGTGCGGGAAGCAGAAAAATGCTCAGACAGACACCACAGTTCACAATGTATAAGTGCTGGCTTTGAGGGTCTTTTATATATTATTTAATAGTTTTAATTTAAAGGATGGGACAGACTAGATGGACCAATAAGTCCCTTGTTGTTCCTAAACATATTTTATGTTAATTATTACAAAGAAAGAAAATATTTTTGTAATTTGGCTCAGAGTAAAAATTATTTACTAAAATTTATAAATTTAAGTAATAAAAAAGTTAAATAATACTGACAACTTTGTTATTAAATTTTGTTATAACCTACATTACAACTCAAGCTTTCGGTGAATGAACAGGCAAAATTCTGCAAATCTTTGAATATTTAATAACAGTAAATACAATAATTTCTTTACACTTATTATTATTGTTAGTTAAATCAATAGTAATTTTGGATTATATTTAAATTAAATATTATGTAACAGAAACAGTAGTACTAATGATAAAATCTTTAGAAGAATATTGAACTTGAAACTTTACCACAATTATTAAAATAAACACACACACACACACACATATATATATATATATATATATATATGTAGTATTTTGTTAAACAAGACCGATGTCTGTAGGTTTACTTT